GACTAGAGCCATCCCAGCGTGAGTCCCTGACTACGTCTATTGTCAACCGCTCCCAAGGATGCTTCGTGTGGGCACAGCTTGCCGCTGAGGCAGTGCGCCACCAGACCACCTACAATGAAATGACCACAGCTGTCCACAGAATGCCCAACACGTTAGGTGATCTCATTGACTACCACGTGCGCAATATCAACCTCAACCGTCTTGGTACGCAGAGCCTACTTGCTTGGTTGGTAGCCAGTGAGCGGCCACTGCGCATCCCAGAGGTCGAGCAATTGTTGTCTGTTGATCTGAAGTCGCTTAAGGTTTCAACTCGTCCACCAAATGTCGAGCGTGATGTCTTCCAGCCTCTTGGGCGGCTGATCTCCGTGCGTGATGGCTTCGTTTCTTTCCGCCATCCCATGGTCCGCGAGCACCTCCAGGCTAGAGCCCAGATGCGTCAGGAGCTTCCATTCTCTCTGGCAGATGCACACTACGATCTCTTGATCCGCTGCCTGGCGTGGGTACGTCGCTCGGTATCCGACGAGATCTCTGTCTCCTGGGACAAAATGAGTGTGGAGGTCCGCGACCGCTACCTGGACGCCTATGTGCTTCTTGAATATACCGCCCGGTACTGGCTTTCCCACATGCTGTCCTCGCCGATGGCTTCCTCCGACCGCGAGCTCTCATTCCCGTCTGCCTTCCGGCGCGCTCTGCCTGACACTGTGTTGTTCGCCCAGCTGGAGCTTACCAACCGTGAGTCGCAGTTCAGTCGGTCAAGTATTGTTGAACTGTATCGACTGGCGGTTGGAGTCCGCCGTGTTGTGCTCGGAAGCGATTCCCCGGCTGTCCTACAAAGTCTGATCCTCAGTGCTCGGGCGTCTGAGAAGGCGCGTACCTCCTGGGCTAATGATCATCTCTACCAGGCTTGGACGGTGAGCCGAAGCCAGCTGGGAACTAGCAGCACAATCACCCAGGAGCTGGAGCAGATGCTCGTATCCTCGCCGGCCGCTGGTCGCCTGACCAGTGGAGGAGGCAAGTCTGTCACATTGAGAGAAATGACGATGACCGGCTGGGGCAAGTCCGACATCAGCTTCCCCCAGCGGCTCCAGTATCTTGATCGCCTTGTCAACATGTATCGAGAGAATAACCAAAATGATGAAGCTTATAACGTTTCCAAGGAGTTTTACCGCCAGACTGTAAAGACCTACGGTGCTCACTCGTCGGAGACCATGCAAGCCGCTGAATTCCTCACGAAGAACTTCGATATCGCACCTTCCGACGAGCTAGCTTTGGAACTGGCCAGCATCAAGTATGAAAACATGCTTCGTTCCATGGATGCGACCGACCCGCGCCGGGTGACTTACTCCCTCTACCTGGCTCAGCTGTATGAGCAAAATGGTCAAGTGTCCAAATCCGAGACCGTGCTGTCCAGACTCTGGACAGGACTGTCGGCACGCGAGGCTGATTCCAAAACATCCTGGGACCAGAAGACCAAGGTTGCTTTCTACTACTCGCAATTCCTGCGTCGTCGGGGTCAATCTGACCGGGCCACGTCCATCCTCCGCGAACTTTCAGCCGACCTGGAAGCTGAGGGTGGCGTCAAGTCTCCAGAAATGCTTAAACGTGCCGAGGAGCTGCGGGGTGAAGCGCGGGAGATGAATCTGACCGATATGGACCGCGCACTCGCACTGGAGATGTGGAAGTACTACCAGTCATCTGGTCAAGTGTACTCGTCCCAAGCAGTGTCCTTGGCGGAAACACTTACCGAGGGTATGATTCCCAGCCAAGATGCTACTACAGCTGAAACCGAATACATTATGGCGGGAATGTCTCCCGAAGACCAGGAGCTTCTGCCCGGCTGGATAGACAGCCTGGCCTCTGCAGGAGACACCCGCAACATGAAGTCCATTATGATGCTTTGTCACCAGTTGTCTACTCAATGTATCCGGGAGGAAGAGTGGCGCAAGGGCTCTGACTATTCCTGGGCTGTGCTGAAGCATGCCTGGCCAGACGTCGAGGATGCCCAAACGAGGGCCAAGTTCTCTTCTGATCTTTCCCCGTTGATGTCTAGTCTTGCCCTTGACTACGCGTACTGTATTTTCCGTCGCTTGGATGTTAAGAGAGCCACCATTGTCTACGGCAACGCGTTCAAGGCTTCGATTACCGCAGACCAAGTTGCGGTGCCAGCTGTTACTACCGTGACGAAGACCGTGGTTGAGTTCTACGAGACCACATTCCAGTTTGACAAGGCGTTGATCCTCCTGCGACAGGTGAGCGAGTTCTTCGCCTCGCGCCTAGGTGCGCACGACAAGCACACGCTGGACAGCCGCTATTATGAGGCCGACCTGGCCTTGCGTCTGGACCGGCGTGCGGAGGCTGAAGATAGCTACCGTCATATCTACAAGGCTTGCGTTCGTGAGGGCAGGATTTCCTCGTCTGGTGTTCGTGCGGCTGTGGCTCTAGCCAACCTTTACGAGCAAGACAAGAAATGGGATGCTGCGCTCGACGTTTATCGTCATCTCTGGCCGACCCTGGTGCACTTCGATGAAAAGGACGGCTACGACCGTGCTCTGCAGGAAGGATTGCTTCCTAAGACCTATGCTGGGTACATGGCCATCCTCGAGAGTACATCTGGTCAAGCGGGCTACGAGGAGCGTTACCAGGTTGCATCACAGCACCAGCAGCTGTGCCGTAAGCTGTATGGAGCGACTAGTCACCGTACCCGAGATGCAACCATGTATCTGGCAGCGCTCTGCGCTAGCAGCGACCGGCATACCAGCGAAGCTATTGACCTGTACCGACAGGTGCTAAAGACCAGCGACTGGGTGTCTGCCACGGAGGCGTCACGCTCTCTGCCTGACATGACACAGCCGCTACCCATGGACATCAAGCATCGCATGGCCCAGCTTCACTTGCGCAACAAGGATACGTCGCAACAAGCTCGCGCGTTGTACATCGAGGAGCTGGCACTCTCCAAGCAGCAGCAGGGTCTCTCCGCGCCCACCACGCTCATGTGGCTACGTGAAATCGCTCGCTTGTACTCTCTGCAGGACAACATTGAGTCCCGTCGGAAAGGTGCAGACCTGCTCAATGAACATGTTGATGAGGTCGTCCACGTTACCGCCAATCAAGACGCTCTGATATATCGCGCCCGCCGGCTGGCAGAGATTTACCTGGAGTGTGGATATAATACCGAGGGCTGGGCGCTTATCGACAGTCTGCACCAGCAAGTCATCCACGACACCCCCGCGGCACAGCGAAAGAATCTCGAAGAGTACCGACCGGCAGTGTTTGTGGCATCTTTCGAGGAGGTCTTTGGCCGCACACGCAGCTCGAGCCAGATCCTGGACGACTTGTCTCGTGAAGGCGAGGTGTACAACGTCTTCCAGCAGAGCCTGGCTGGTCATGATCTCATGCCCACCCTTGCAGCTGGCGAGAAATTGCATCGCTTGCAGACGGAACAAAAGCGCAGCACCGCAGCACAGAGCACCCAGAACAAGCTGTACGACTTCTTCTGCAACACGCTCTCTGTTTCGCAGTCAGCCCGCAAGAAGGATGCTGTGTACCAGTTCTATTCCTTGTGTCGGCGCGAGTCATTGCATGATGACTACAATCTCAACATCATCACCCAGACCACCAGCATGGTCCGGGATCTATGCAACCAGTCGAGATTCCAAGAAGCCACTGATGTGACTAGTGTGTTCCATTCTTTCGTCCATTTGACCGATGGACTGCGCTCGACGGAGAGCATCTTCATTGCCATCAAACTGTGCTTGTACCTCTGCGGTTACCAGGTGAACAAGTGCACTGAGACTACCACAGCCAATGCAATGTCTCTGGAGTCGAAGACTCTTCTCCAGGAAGTCATGAACAATGCACGTGATATCCCTATGGAGTTCTCAGAACTTCCATTCGAGGAGCTCAACGATCTGGTGACGGTGCTGGGAGAACACGAAATGTTCCAAGATCTCGAGGTAGGTAGCCTTCTTCTTAACTCACACGGTATCCCCTCTAACAAATCAGGTAATTCTCACCGACCTCTGGACCTCTCGGATTGTCCAGAAGACCTGGACGCTGCCCGCAGTTGTCTGGATTGGCCGACGTCTGGTCGAGACCCGGTTCTGCCGCGGCCATGTCACGGCCGCCACGACACTGGGCAAGGACATTTGCTACAACCTGCGCCAAGTCTGGGGCAACTCCGACCCCGTTACTCTCGAAATGAACAAGCTGCTCTCCGGACTGTACACGGCGTCCGGAAACAACCTTGCTGCGGCTGCTCTGCATGAGACAGCCCTGGCAGAGCTGTTGAACGACGAGACCGAAGACCAGTCAGCTGCTGTCAACGCCGTGACTCAACACCTGGAGCTGTTGCAGCGGGCACAGGCTCGTCTGGCCAAGGAAGGACAAAGTGCAGCCATCGACGCGTCGGCGGCCCAGGAACGCGTGCAGCAGATTGCAACCAAATTTGGCTTGTCATCGTCCAAGCTGGAGCAGCCGTCCACGGCGGATGATTCACTTGGCATGTGGGAGCGCCCCCGGCGGTTCAGCTTGGATGTCGAAGAGGCAGCCAAACACTCGAACCATCTGCGTCAATCTAGCGGATCTGCGTTGCTGACGGGCAATGCGGGTGCGAAGAGGCTTTCGATTACAGCTTTGTAAGGGGTTGAACTAACAGATTGAAAACTAGATTGCCAGTTTTTGTAATTAGGTGTTGGGGTGTTTATAGTGTTATAGTAATGTAATAATACTGTTTCTTCTGATAATCACTACGAAGATATTATTCATAAGTTGACTATAGAGCATTCCTTGAATATCTATATAAGAGATTATAGGAATCATAGAATAACAAATGAAAGAGAAAGAGGTACTATCCTTATGCTTTTAGTCTGTTTGTTGTTGGGATAATAAGATAAGGCGTCTAATGACATGGAACACAATCAATGCCTATATTTCCGACTAGGCACCGCTGATCATGGATGCAATGAGTTTGCAACCTCCACTCTCATCTTCAACACAACATAATGGCTACCACCATCACACTACCATACTATGCCCGTGACATCCCCTGCCCGCTACCCACAACTTCAGAGATCGATGCAGCACCCGACATATCCTTGGAGTATGGAGGCCGAAGAATCGTTGAGATCGGAGACCATCTGGTAGCGAAGTTCGGAAAAGGCGTGGACCTTATCGAAGGAGAGAACATGTTATTTGTCCAAGAAAACACCAGCATACGAGTCCCTCGAGTGTATGCACTTTACTCGGACCCATCGACGGGCAAAAATTACATTGTTATAGAAAAAATTCCTGGACAGACTCTTTTGTCCCAATGGCCACAGCTAAGCCCATCGGAGAAGGAAACCATCGTCACTACACTTCATGACTATTTCAACAAGCTACGACATTTACCACCGCCAGATTACTATGGCAGCTTAGGAAGACGATGCCTTCTTGATGGCATATTCTGGACCAGCGATCCTGAACCATCGATTAATGGACCGTTCATGACGGAAAGTGCTCTTATCGAGGCAATGGCTAGGAAATATACCTACGATGGTCGGCCGCGGTTCAGAGCTGAGTTCTACCGCCAGTGATGGACAGGATACCTCACAGCTACAGGTTACTGTTCTTGACTGGGAAAAGGCGGGTTGGTATCCAAGCTACTGGGAGTATTGTCTTGCTGTCTGCGCGTTGCGATGGGATGATGATTGGTGTCTTTGGATTGAGAAAGTGCTGGATCCTTGTGTCGCTGAATCTGCGTGGTTTCAAGCTCTTCGGTTGGAGTTATGGTCTTAGAGCGTTTTTGTTCACACATTATTTCTTGGTTGGAGTTCGCATACCGCAGCGAAACGCCACGCGTAGTGAGTAATTGTCCGATACGGGCGCATTAAGGGGTAACCGCTGTCACGTCACACAGCCTTGGAGATACTCTCTTCCGGCAGGGTGTCGATCGATTAGGTCTCCCTCCGCAGTCAGTTGGCAGGGCGGTCTACTCAGTATGATCAACAAAATGTTAAGCAGGTGGCCCCCAAGAATAAAACAGTTATACTGCTCTGCGCGATCTCGGATCCTCCGCCCTTGTAACCTTGGGACTCCCAACCCTGTAAGAGCGTTGTCAACGACAGAATGTGCACGGCAGCTAACAGTCGCCTCGCACGAAAATCTTTTCCGCTACACTTCCGGAAGATGGCTGTAAGTGCTATGAGATTAGTATCCAAAGTATTACCAGTGAGGCTAATATCATGTAGCTTCAAAGAACATTTGCGTCTAGCAGAACGCTTCTAAACTCGATGTGCTTGCGCTTCAAAACATCATTTCCAGTGCATCTGGTCATTCAATATCCAAACTCCAGTCAATCACTAAGTTAACAGAAGGCGGATACAACCGTGTGTTTGAGGCTACCTTTAGCGATGGTAAAAGTGTTCTCGCGAGACTACCCTATCCAAGTACAGTGCCAGAGCATTACACGGTAGCGAGCGAAACAGCGACTCTGGACTACCTTCGCCTACATGAACTTCGCACACCAGAGGTATATGCCTGGTGCTCAACAAAGCTAATCCAATTGGAGCTGAATATATCATCATGAAGAAGTTGGATGGTACTCCTCTCGGCGATAAATGGTTTTCATTGACCCCACAGGAGCAATATAAAATTATGACACAAATAGTTGAATGGGAGACGCGTTTGATGTCATTGGAGTTTCCTGCCTCTAGGAGCCTCTACTATTCGAAGGATCTTCCATCTGAAAAGAGAACAAAGCTAGACGATCCGAGCAGCATGGCATTCTGCATAGGGCCAATAGCCCATTATAGTTGGTGGCATGGTGAGAGAGGCATTATGGATATTGACCGCGGACCCTGTGGGTGATTCTACCAGGTATCATAAGACTCACAACACTAACTTCACCGGGAGAAGAGGGCCATCATCAGTCGACATCTTCCGAGCAGTTGGCGAACGTGAACTAACCTGGGCCAAAGCCTATGCGATGCCTCGCTTGCCCTATGAGCGGCTTTATAGGGAGGTTTACCAATTCAAGCGCGTCTCGCCGGATACCCACGTTACAGATCTTGTCAATTACCTCAAAATGGTACCCAGTTTAGGATATTGCAATCCATCCTTGGATCGGCCAGTCATGCGCCACCCCGACCTACAGCCAAACAATATCCTCGTGTCTGACACGAATGGAATAACTGGACTCATAGACTGGCAGCATTGCGCGATTCTCCCTCTCGGTATTGTTTCTGGGATTCCAGCTCACTTCCAGAACTATGGCGATCCAGAGTCAGAAATGCTCAAACAATCTCAGCTTAATCTGCCCTCTGATTACGATTCCATGACACCGTCCAAGCAGAATTCAGTTAAGGAAATTTATCGCAGAAGATTGATTCATTTCCTCTACGCCGCCCTGACTAAAAGGCTAAATCAAGATCATTACGATGCTATCTTCGACCAGTCAGTTATACTCCGCCAAGGCCTTCTCCAGAGTGCCGGTAGACCCTGGGAGGGAGACTCAGTATCACTGCGTGCTGAGCTCATTCGCTCGATATTGAATTGGTCGGCGATCGTCCAGATTAATAAAGTTGCTCCGCCGGTGGACTATCCAGAAGATGTTGTCCGGGAGACTGTTGACTTGAATGCGCAGCAGAGAGAGGCCTATGTGGCAATGAAACAGATGCGACATGCTTTAGTTGTCGATATCATGGGATGGGTACCGAATGAAGATTATGAGGCTGCCAGAAGACTCGCATCTGAGATAAAGAGTAGAATGCTTGAAGCGGCAGAGACTCCTGCTGAGGTTATCGCTATCCAGAACATTTCCCCTTTGATAATTTCGACGAAAGGGCTTAAGGCAATGTATGAGAAATTAGTGAAATTTTCAGGAGATTCGTTGCTGGCTGATGCACCAATGGGCCTGACTATACCCTGAGCTGTTGATTTGAAAGCATGATTCGGCGGCAGCTCAGATACTAAATGCATATGTTGGCCAAGACGTATGGAATCTGAATGTAGCAATAAGACTAGACGATTATCGACCCAAAACTGTCAAAGCTCAATAAAAGAAAAGAGCCCTGCCGTGCAGGGGGAGGGTGCGGGAAGAAAAATTGGTGAAAAAATAATGACCAGACTGGGGCTCGATCCCAGGACCTTATCGGTGTTAACGATACGTGATAACCAACTACACCATCCGGCCAATTCTATACTTGGGGCTTTAGTATTATGCAATATGAATGAAATTCAGGTTTAGTGGCGGAGCATAGTCCCAAATCGATCAGCTCTGGGCAAAGGAATCCTTCGTTTTCTTGGTTCCTATAAAAAGCCGCCATGTCCAGAGCCTTTTCTACTGCGGTCAAAATTTGACGAAAGGGTTGGAATATAACGAGGAGTTACTTCCCTCAAATTGGAAAGGGGGCTGTGAAGCGATATGAGACAGGAGGCGCAGGAGAATTAATGTGATTTAGAGGGCTTCTGCTAAAACGTATATCAAAAAGTTGGGGAAATCTAATTTACTGAATTCTGTACAAACAAGTCCAAATATTGTTCCAATCTTGGAAGACTGGTCAACTTACCAAACACCTAGGTATCGTAACGATGGCAGCAGCCCTATACACCAGTCTCATTTCAACCGCGCGGATAAGGCGAAGATCCTCAGTGCTCGATTTAAGCCTGTTGATGGTCGAGCTCGCACCCTTCATGTATATGAAGATGGCACGGGGACCTTCGACAAGGGTGATGTTTGTGAGAATTCATCTACTCCCACACAAAGGGCTTGGGAGGAACTTGGAACGTTAGGTCCTAGTTAGGTTGCATTTAGACCTCCTAAGAGCGGTGACCTAATCTTGCTTTGTTCTCCTGCGGTGCGGAATTGACATCGTGGAGTCCCAGACATTCTCATGAAGGTCTAGCTCTTCACGTTCATATTGCCTTGCATCCCACTCAGCCCAACCCCCTTGGTCTCTGAGTAGCTTTGCTGCACCGAATTCGGCATTCTCTTCTGCCAATTTGACTGCTCGAATGTATTGGCGACGGCCACTTGCCACAATTGATGCACCTTCATTCAGAAGCAGCTGCAGCATATCAATGCGACCATGTTCCGCAGCTCCCTCCAATGCTGTTCTGCCATTTTGCAAGGACTTTTTTGCGTTGACATCGGCTCCCTTTGCAAGTAATTTACGAGCGATACCGATGTATCCCTTGATTGCAGCAAACTGGAGCGCTGTTCCGCCCTTAAATTCGGCCGCACACTGATTAGGATCTGCTCCAGCGTCCAATAGCATGTCCACTAATTGAACATTTCCATCTTCCACCGCGGCTTGTAATGCCGTTCTTCTATATTGAGACGAGGCTGGTCGGTTGACGTCTGCCCCTGCGTCTAGGAGAATCTTTACAATGTGCCTGTTTCCGGTTCTCACTGCAGCGCAGAGAATTGATTGCCCTTTGCCACTTTCCGAAGGTTCGTTCGACAAGATGCTCCAATCACAATCAGCACCGAGAGCAACCAGGCGTCTAGTCAGAGAGATATCCTGCCTCCCAACGGCGAGCCAAAGGGGAGGAGGATATGAGACAAATGCAATCTTGACCGCCTGATTCACATCCGCACCGGCATCCAATAAATCCTGTACCGCGGAATTGCGACGGTGATACAGAGCTGTGGTGAGCGCTCGTCCTTTTTCAACCGCAGTCCATGTTCGTGAATGTAGAAGGGTCCTAAGTGACACACCATTCCGCCAAATGACTGCTCTCTCAAGGATAGAATCGAGAACTGCGCAGTCGAGGACTCCGTGCAGCTGGTACAGGAAAATATTGTCCAAAAATCCGCTAGCAACAACTTTGCCTCCGGGGTCAAGACCAATTTCTAAAAAGCGCCGCACAAGAAAAACAATGTGATCATATTGTAAAGCCTTCTCGAAGGCATTTGGGACAGCACAAGGCTGCTGTGACAAATTGTCCAAAAGCAGTTGAAGAATTCCAAAATGTTGCGAACCGCATCGATAATCCTCGACTGCTGCTGTCAGTTCAAGATCTCCGATGCTTGCTCCTCGTACAATCAGAAGCTTTGCCAATGAAAAGCTCTCTGGGAAACGTAAGTAAAAAATTGCAGCTGCAAGCGGAGATAGGCAAACAGTGGCGTAATCCAAAAACCTCCAGTACCGCTCACGCCCAACAGGCTGAAGTGAACACTTTGACATCATGAAAAATGGCTTAAGACCGACATTTTTAGGCTGCTTGTCGACATTACGATCGAGCAAATATTGGACAAGACCATCATCGCTTCTCCGCGACATCCTAATGGCAGACACGAGTATCGGTTGACCATAGCAATGGAGGATTTGAGGCAGCAGCCCAAGCTGTCCCAAGTACATTGCAGTTTCCAAATTTTCAATTTGAATCAGACTTTGTCCAGTATTTGTCGCTCCGGCTTGTAGAAGAGATCCAATCATTTCGCAGTGCCCACCTGCTATGGCTGCGCCGAGGATGGTGTCTGGGACTTCGTTGTAAATTTCATTCTTCCTTGCGCCCCAACTCAATAGGGAAATTGCAGTGTCGAGATTGTTCATCTCCACATTTTCATACAGGATGGAGGTATAGTAATCCTCCATCTGAGTTGGCTCCACTCTGGCTCCGTAGGATATGAGCAGTCTAGAAGTTTCGAGATCGTTTTTCTCAAGAGCCCGTTGCACGAGGCTCATTCCTTGGATTCCATCACCAAGAGAGACTTTTGCTCCCGCCGATAACAGACGCTGTGTGATATTGATTGCACCATATTCAACCGATAAGACGAGTGGCGGGATGTAATCATCTGATGCCTCTTGGTGGTTGATATCTGGATGAGCATCCAAAAGAAGACTGATTATGTCGTCGTTGCCTTTTCTTATTGCGAGTCCAAGTGTGGTTGACTGGACAATGCTGTCTTCACGGAAATTAATGTCTTGGATTGCGTCAACATCCGCGCCTAAGGAAAGCAGATATTGTGTCAGAGACACATCCTTTCGGTGCACAGCAAATCCGAGGATCGAAAGGTTTAATAAAATACCGCTTTGTTTGTTGACATTGGGGTCAATATCAAGGAGCATAGAGAGAAGGCATGGGGTTCCCGTCGTGATTGCGGCGCTTAATGCCTCTCCTGATATAGGGATATTTAGAGCCAGAAAGACTTTGGAGAGCTCAACATTTCTTGAGCGGATTGCTTCAAGAAGCGCCCATTCTAACATTTTGATATCCTTGCGCCCAGAACCATAGGACAGGAACAAGTTGCACATGTCAAGTGCTGCTCGGGGGTCTCTGAATGTGGAAGCCAGTATCAAAGGTGGCACGGGATCTCCATTATGAATAACTGGGGTATCAGGGCTCATACCAGCTTTCAAAGCCATCCGAACTGTTCTTACGTCCTGTGATCTCACCGCACTTGCAAAAATTCTGTGCGATATAGCATGTGCTGTTGCACCGGGGAGGGAAAGCAGATAGCTGAGGTTGCTGACGGTATTCAGGCCCGATAGATAGAAGATCGCCATGATCGTTTGATCCTCCTTGCTGATACTGGGCACTCCTCGATTCTCATCATGGAAATTGTCGTTCGTCTCATCATTGGAGTCACTATCCATCAAGTCATCCGTGTATCTCTCCACGGATTCTCGTATATTCGAATGCCAAGACTTATCATCAGGCTCACCGATTTTAAAACCGTTGGAAAGCAGAAAAAGTGCCACTTGTAAGCGCTCCACGGCATTACTGCCACATCTGAGACCACAAAGACTTTCTGCTATGTAAGAGTTTTGGCCTTCGTGTTGTTCAGGCATTATTGAGCTCAGAGCTGCTGCTACCCTGGCGCTATTTTGTCCGGTGCGCAGCACTTTGGCATGGTTTCCGATCATAAGCGAGCCGAGAGAATCGATGAGACCACGTTCGATGATTTGGGAAGGTAGGTCCTTTTCCCGAACCCCTGGAAGATGTTCCAGTGAAATAGACGGGTTGCCTGCATCATGTTAATATTAATCAATCTCACAGTAGTTGTTAAATGTGAGTCTTACTCGGTACGTTCTGTAATCTGCTCAGCGCAGTATTGGAGAAAATAAACCATGGGAGATTCTGTGGCCATGTAATTTGAAAGATCGACGGACCAGGGGAGCAGACAATAAGTCCTTCAGGTGTTGGGGACAATGGCTCTATGTTGTGTCAATCATCTATGTTGAGTATCCTTGACTTCTGGATAGGCTCACCTTGACGATATTTGTCAATCTCTCTCTGAAAACCCTGGCGATGAATCTCAAATTGCACTGTTTTTGGATCGTAACAGACCCCATCGAACCAGACTTCGAGATTCTGCCCTTCAGCTGCCCTCTTTTGTATTTCTCTGTTGACGTGTCTCCACTTGAGAGCGCCCATGCGATATTTTTTCAAACCCCATTTTTTAAGCCTCGCCGTGTATTGATTTTTCCTGCACAATGTGAGAAATTGGCCGATCATAGTTCACAGGAGCGTCGGATTGCATACGTTTTGCGAAAGCCATATGTCGTTTCCATGAATTGCAAGACCTCCTCTAGCTTTTTGTTCTCTCTGATGTAAAGGCGCTCGATCTCTGCCTTATGAGCCTCCCATTTTGCATCTGCCATGGTGCCATTCAGGAATGAGAGTCTATCAAACGGCATAGTTGAGGAGCACAGGAATTAGAGATTTCATCCGGAGTTGAGTCAATGAATCTATGTTGGAACATCACAAGTATTTATTTGCGGGTGGGCTAAGGCGGAGATAAGGCTGAGCGAGGTATTCGGAGGCTGTAAACCCCTGATTTCCACGTCATCACCGCCACATCGTTGCCAAAGTATGCACACTATGCGGCCCGAGGAATCCTGATTGGATACAATCAAAATTTGGTGAGGTGAGGATGCGCCCCGCTCACCTTGTTTGACATGCTATGATCGGGCAAGCGTCTAGAGCCCTGTGGCTGGACGCAAAGGAATCCCATTCAGTGATTAGCTGATATCCAAATTTGGGGCCCACTACGCTGATCGGCGCGATCAGCGCCAACCCTAGTTATGCAAGACGAATCTCCATAGTGCTA